AAAAAAAAAAAAAAATACATGCTTCTTGGAGCCGACAGGTGGCATGGTCATTAAGGGTGCCGGAATCCCACATGACCGACCATGGTTCAAATCCTCGACCTGGTGGCTTGCTGTCTCACTTTCTTTCTTGCTCTCTCTCACTCTGTCCCTCTTTGGTCAACTTTAAATGCATAAAATAACATAATAATTTAAAAATATATATGTATATACCTTTCTCCTCTCTTTCTCCCTCCCTCCATCTTGTTCATTCTCTTACTCTCTCATAAAATAGAAATTTTAATTAAAAATGTAAGACCAGCTGGTGGCATGGTATTAAGGCAGCTGGATCCCACATGTCTGGCTGCAGTAAGTCCCAAACCTGGTGGCTTGAAAAACACACTGGGTGATGTGTATGTGTGTGCATGTGTGCCCAAAAATCCCACGAGGAGGGAGAAATGAAGGGGAAAATTGCAATGTGACCATCCCCCAAGGGGAGGGTGCTTTCTCACTTTCCTTCTCTTTCTCTCTGTCTCTTTCCAGCAAGAACATACACCCTCTAATTAATATATATCTATAGATATAAATATAGATACATGTTCACATACACACACACACACACAATGACTTTTAAGACATTTGTCATGATGCAATAAAATAAATGATCCCAACAAGAAGGGAAAAGAAGAGTAATCCTGCATTTGCTCCGGCCAACTGCTTTAAGTGTCCAACTCTTGGCTAGGAAAGGGAGACAATAAATTTCTGATCAGACATACGAGAATACTAACAGAGGCCAGGGAAAAAACCAACCAAAGGTTTATGAGTCATTGTATCTGGCTCTGGGGTCTAATGCCTGTTTCCTCCAGCCATACAGGAAAACCTTATATATATATGATCCTTGACTTTCAGTGATTTGACTTAATGTCTTTTCCACTTTTCCTACAGTGCCAGAACAATACATATTCAGTAGAAACCATGCTTTGTGTACTCATACAATTATTCTGTTTTTTTACTTTCAATAAACTATTCAAGAAATTACATGAAATAAGTAATACATTGTTATAAAAATAGGCTTTCTAATTATATCATTTTTCCCAACTGTTGGTTAATATAAATGTTCTAAGAATATTTAAACCAACCTAAGCTAATCTATGAAGTTCAGAAGATTAGATGTGTGAAATTCATTTTCCACTTAGGCTCTTTTCAAGTTAGTATTATGGGTTTATTGAAACAGAACCACACAGTAAGTTAGGAAGCATCTATACATGGGGAAATAGGTAGAGTACATAGGAATCTTACCACAGTGGAGTGGAAAAATTAATCTTGGAGTTAAAAATGTACTGGTCTCACCTACCTAGTCCTTTTCTTCTTTCTTTCTTTTTCTTTATTTTCTTTAAAGACTATAGATTAGTTTATTTGTAATACCCATCATGCTGTGAATTCATAGGGAATAGATTCCAGAAGCTCAGGCTCCTTTCTATTGTTTCTCCCAAAGTGTGCTTCTCTGGGTGGAGCAGGCTAGCACTTCAGTTGAACCCAGGTACCTTTCTCTTTGGCTTCTTTCTTTTTCTGATAATTTTCTTTCACATGTTTTAGGAAGCTATCTCTGCTCTTAGAATGCTTAATATGCTCAATACCCACATTAGTTCTCTTGGCAAGAATCTTGTCCTTAACTTATTTGTTCACAACAATGTCAACAGCATGCTGGGTAACTCTTTCTCGTAGACTCTTCCAGTTTTGCCATGATAACATTTGTGGGACATTCCTTTGTGAACAGTACCCATTCCCTTAATGTCTACAATATCACTTTTCTTAGAGATTCGCAAATATATTGCCAAAGGAACCACTCCATGTTTTCTAAAAGGCCTAGAGAGCATATATTGGGTGCTTCTCCTCTTACCCTTATGTTCATCATTTTGGTGAATTACTGGAAGATGGTGGTTCCGACCAAAAAACAAAAGATTTTTGCTGTAGGACATGTGTGCTCTTCAGAGAGACAGAGACAGAAAGCAAGAAATCATCCCGTGGGTGTGATTTCCTACTCCTCTATTCTTCCCTCAGGATTTTGGGTACAAACACACATGCATCTGGCATGAGTTTCAAACCTCTGGGTTCAGGACTTGAACTGCAGTCAGCCACATGGGTTAAGGCACATGGGAATCCAGTGCCTTAACCCACCAAATCACCTTCTAGCCCAACACCTAACTAATCTTAAGAGCTAGGCAAGAGAGTATCAAATTTCTTTCAGACAAAATAACTATATTCCAGAATAAAGCTATATATATATATATATATAAAATAAGAAATGCTCAGTAACCAAAAAGGTTATATCACAAATTAATATCATAATAAAAAATTAACTGGCATGCAAAGAAGCAGGAAAATAAGAGCTTTAATGAAGAGAAAAACTAATTAATTAAAACATATACAGAGGGGTGATAGCAGTGAAAACTGCAGAGTAAGCACAAAAATTCTTTCATAAAAACAATGAGAAAACAAGTAAAATTCGCCAGATCAGTTTTTTTCATAACTCTGAAAATTAACTGAAGCTTTAAGTAACTCGAGTCATTTATTTTAAAAATATAGCTAAATTTTGGTAAGAAGAACAAATTTTATGGTTGTTTTAACTTGTCTTATTTCTGTTCCCTTATTTCCAGGTGGTGGCAGCCTTGATAGTCAATAGTCCTGCGATCGCAGTGAACCGGGCAGTCCGGCAGCCACCAGAGGGAGCAGAACAGACTTGGATGTCCTTTGAAGAATGATTCCCAGACAACAGTCTTTTTTTTTTTAACTGCTTAGAGGTTTTTTTGGAAGACCTACTTGGGGGGGGTGTCTTCATTTGATGTGACCTTTCTAGTACTAAAGCCTGAGACATTTGTTATATACAATTAGAAGCCATTGCTTAACTTCGCTGCTTCCAAAGCTTGTAAATAATGGTTAAAGCAATGATATGCTAGCCAAAAAGTGTTAAAGGGATATCTGGGGAATAAGATGTTCATAGTGACTTTGAAAATATCCAGTATATTCATGGGAATCTAGAAGGTCAGAGACACATAGAGCTTTATGCACATGGTCAGGACTGTCTTCTAGCAGGAAGCACTGGAGGCTCTATACTCCATACTCTCATTTTGGGTTGACCTCAAAACTCTGCACAAGCAGGAAGTTAAGGATAAAGAAGAGTTGTCAACTGGCTGACAGAGTGTTGAAGGTGTCCCCAAACTCATATACAAAGACCCACAGAGCCCTGTGGCAAAAACTAGGGGACTGTTGATTCCAATTATTTAAGGAAATAATTGTCCAGCATTAGCTGGCAACTAAACTAAGTGAGCAGATCCTTCAATGACCACATGTGACAAGGAACTTATGGTTAGTTGAGAAAAGTCATTAAACAAACAACAAAAACACTAGCAATAGACAATGAAAATCTAAAATACAGAGAATAATTCTATTTGTATAAGCATAAAAATAATAAAATTTTAGGAATAAATTTAAGAAACAAAGCATAAGAACTAAACACTAAAAACTACAAAATAACTTTGGAAGAGGGTAAGTCATAAATAAATAGAGATATTCTATATTCATGGATTACAAGACAATATTATTAAGATAGAGATATTCCAGCTTCCTTCTATCTTCGTTTTTGGTTGGCGTTCGTAAGAGGAGCTACTGAAAAGATAGTTACACTGCAGTTAAAGAAAGTATATCGGCCTAGAACCTTCCCTGAACACTCTGCTGCATGATTTACTGCAGCCAACAGAGAACATGAATCAAAATAAATGGAGTAGGAGGGCAATTGTATGAAGAAACTTTCAACCGTTAAAACTAGTTAAGGAGCATTAAGTGTAAATTGTTATAAGGTGATAAAAATTAATATAAAAGCAGCTTTGTAAGTTGGGCCTAACATTTTTGTTTATATAGTTTTCAACTAAAAAGGCATGTCATATGTTTAATATGTTGTACAAATAGGTACTGTTTTATTCTTAGTATGTAGTGCTGTAGATAAAGATAGGTATTCTCTTAAGCTAAACATAAGTACAATAAAAGTGCTTTGTCATTGTGGATGGGACTAGTGAAGGCATTCTAAATGTTTATCTGACAAAACTGGAGAAAGTAGCTGGTACAGTTTTATTTACCTTATTCCTAATTATAGAGGGGAAAGAAGGAAGATTGTCCATAATTTTACACCAGTAGTATAAAACACTTGGACGGAGGGTGGACAAAACCTTGATTTGTGTACATGTTACATGGAGAAACGCTATGTCATTTAATAGTTCATGTAAAAAAATTTGACATTGAAATATGTCTTAACAAAAATAGAATATGTACATCCAGTTTTTTGGATTAAAGGAAGTGGTGAAAACAGTGTACCAAAATAAAAACATTAAGGATACATAAAGTGGATTGAAAGAGGTATAGATGAGTTACACTCGTGTACTGGTTGAGTATCCGTATTAAAGAGATTCATATTGGTTCAGAAACCGGTCTATAATCTAGAATGCTCTGATTTGTATAAAACAAAATAAAAGCATTTAAAGATAATGAAACTATAAGTCATAGAAATAGAGTGCAACTTTTTCACTAGCATCCACACATATAACAAGGTGTTTTGCACTTATAAAACAGACAATACGGCGTATAACACTTAGAAGCTATGTAGTAAGTAGCATAGAATTCACATGAAAAGTAAATGTTCCATATCTTGATATGGTTGGTATTTTTACTGATGTAGAAAGATACAGCATATTTTAAATATTGTGCATTTAAGATTCGTATTTCATGTACCTAAAATTCATAGAATAATCTTTCTGTTTAAAAGAATACATATAGTTGGGAGCAGCAGGTGGTGTGGTGGTTAAGGTGCTGGACACTCCCACATGACCGACTACAGTTCGAGTCCTGGACCTGTGGCTCGCTTTCTCACTGTCCTCTCTCTCTATGTATCTCTCTCTCGTCAAATTAAAATAAATGAATGAATAAATAAAATTGAATAAATAATTATAAAAATGTCTTTAAAAAAAGAATACATGTAGCAAAAACTATTGGACTCTGACTTCAACATTTATAATCTTTGATAAATAAGTAAATATAAAGTTACAAGATAGGTAAAAAACAGTTAAGAATTTGTGTGTGAATACTTTGCTACCTTATTTGCATTTTTTTGAATTCTGAAATATTTCTAAATGATTGTTTGCTAGGATGCAGAGATAACTTTATTGTATTTCTAAAAAGCACAAATGACCATGTTGCTAAAAAGCCTAGGAAAATAAAGAAAGTTTAAACACTGAAAAAAAAAAGATAGAGATATTCTTCAAGTTGACTAAGATTTATTTCAATTTCTAACAAAATCTCTGCTGGTTCTTATACAGAATTTGATAAGGTGGTACTAAAATTCATGTGAAAACGACTCAGAGTAGCCAAATAATCTTGAGAAGAAAGAACAATGTTTGCTCACTCACTCTTCCAAATGTCAAAACTTACTATAAAACTAAAGTAATCAAGACTATGTGGTAATGACACAAGAATAGGCATGAGGATCAGAGAAGAATAGAAAGCTCTGAAATAAACCAATACATTATGGTGAATTGATTTCACAAGGATGACAAAATAATTCAATGGGGAGATAATAGTCTTTCCACGATTTGTGCTGGGAGAACTGTATAGCATGGAAAAGAATGAAACTGGACTCTGACCTCACATCATATACAAAAATTATTTCAAAATGCAGCAAAACATAAAGGCATGAGTAAAGTAAGTAAAGGATTAAAAGAAAACACTGATATAAGTCTTTGTAACCAAGGAATAGGCCGCAGTTTCTTAAACATGATACCTAAAGCAAAAAACGTAAAGAACAAAAAAAAATATATACAATAATGTTTGTGCAAACTCATAAATATACTAAAATTCCCTAGTCAACATACAAATAGATGCTAGAATTAGCAGAGAAGAATATTTAAAAGTTACCAATATGCTTTGTACATTCGAAAAGTTAAGTGGATACATGGAAGGTATAAAAGAAGGTTAAATTAAACATGTTAAAACAAGGTGAATATCTGGGATGAAAAATAAATTTGATGGAAATTATAAGCAGATCAGATATTAGGAAAGAAAAGATTAGTGAATTTGAAGATATACATCTAGTGGAATATTATTCAACAATAAAAGGAATAGATATACATACTATGGTTATACATAGTATTCATCCTAAATAAATCTCAAAACATACTGCATCAGAAAAAATAAAAAGTATGTATGACTTCATTTATATAAAACTCTAGAAAAGGAAAACCAACTTCTTATAGATCGCTAATATATAAAATGATGAGTAGCGAAGAAAAGTAGAGAGGAGGGAAATAATTAAAAAGTAGGACGAAGATTTGGGGGACAATGGAGGTGTTCTTTATTTTGAATATAGTACTGTTTTTTACGTCAAAATGTATTAAGTTGGGACCAGTAGTTGCGTAATGGCTATGTCACTGGACTCACACGTGATCAACCATGTTTCAAGTCCCCGATCCAGTAGCTTAAATTCACTCCGGGCACATGTGTGTGCGTGCCCAAGATCCTGAGAGGAGAATGGAGGAGAAGGGATTGCATCCTCCATTGTGGCCATCCTCCCAGGGGCGGTGGGGGGGGGGGAGTGATTTCTCGCTTTCACTCTCTCTGTCTCTTTCTGGCGAGCGCAAGTGCCCTATAGAAAAACAAAACAAAACAAAAAAACATACTGGGCACACATGCCCAGTATGATTTTCAGATGCCGTGCCCAGGACTTGAACCACACACTCCACCATGTGGGATCCAGTTGTCTTAACCACCATGCCACTAACAATAGAAAAATGCATGTTTCTATTATTCTGTGTGCACCATCCAACAGTCAGTGGTTTCATTCCGTAGATCGATATGCACGTCCATCATGTGCTTCCATATTCAAATTTTTTTATTAGAGGTTTTTGCTATATAGGGTGTGTGCACTCGCCAGACAGACAGAGAGAGACAGAGAGACAGAAAGCGAGAAATCACCCCCCAGGGGGGATGGCCACGCTGCAATCCCTTCTCCTCCATTCTCCTCTCGGGATCTTGGGCACACATGCACACGCGCCCGGCGTGAGTTTTAAGCCACCGGGTCAGGGATGCGAACCGTGGTCGACCACATGGGAGTCCAGCAACATAGCCGTTATGCTAACTGCTGGTCCCTCTATATTCAAATTTTAGACTCAGTTTCAACTGGGTCAAATTCTACACCCAGCTGTTTCATTCAGAAGTAACAATTATTATTATTATTATCATTATTATTTTCTTTTGCCTTACCTGTGATGAGTCCCCCGTGACCACAATGTACTTGCAAAGAGGGTTCCTGCATTTTTTGGTTGAAAGAGGTCTGGTTGAAGGATCACAGAAACTTTCATTCACTTGAATATTCTGTGCATCAGTGCACTTCACTAGCCGATGCGTCTCTTTTTTCTTACATGATGTAGAACACTAAAAATGCAAAGATGAAATAAGAGAAATATTCTTACATGCAGTACCTTTGGAATTTAACTTGTTGATACTCACATTCAGCCACTCTCCTGCAATCCACTGATACTGCACGCAATCCTGGCGCCAACATTGCCTCTGAAAATAAGGCCTGGTAGACTGATCGCACATTTCTTCGGCCACTCGACCAGTACCTCTCAGTCTGCAGAACACATCCCTTTGCTGAACCCCAGAACCACAGGTCACAGAGCACTACAAAAGAGTACAAGTGATATAAAAAAATAGCTAGAGAATGTCACATCATATAAAAATAACAAGTAGAGTCACTACATTTTTTCTTATTTCTATTTTTTCTTTTTTGTTTTTGTAGAAAGGTTTTTGCTATAGGGCACATGTGCTCGTCAGAGAGAACAGAGACAGAAAGCGAGACATCACCTCCCAGAGGGGATAGCCATGCTGCAATCCCTTCTCATTCTCCTCTCGGGATTTTGGGCATGCACACACACACAGCTGGCTTGAGTTTTAAGCTGCCAGGTCTGGAACTCAAACCGTGGTCAACTACGTGGGAGTCTAGCAATGTAACCATTACACCATCTGCTGATCTCCTTATTTCTTTTAAACATAGCTCAATATTATTTTATGCATTATATAGAAAATATATGTAGTAACTTTTTTGATCATTGTCTGGTCTGATACAGATTTTTAAGTCTCTTCAAGCCTTACAGAAATGAAGACAAGCAAACCATGCTATGTTAGACTGTATCCTAGTTAGTAACTCTCTCTTCTGACTTAAATGTGCTAATGTCTATAAAACTTATGACTCAATTGATTATAACTATTCTACTACATTGCTTTTCAAAGTTTTTTTTTTTTTAATTCTTACATTATATGCGTTTTCTCCCTCAAACAAACAATAACATCCAAGATGGTGTTATATTTCTCTTTTTACTTGTGGTAACTACTGTAGTTTGTACCCTTTAGGGCTTAAAATATTTGCTAATTTGTTAATACATAATTATATTTCAATAGACAGGAATTTGAAGAAGCTGGTTTTATACATTTTAAACTCAGACAACCTCTTCTTAACCTCTTCAGGTCTCATTTTTATTATTTGCACAATGAAAATTCTGTGCTATTAGTAAAATTTCATAGAACACTTCCCATACATTTATTCCTCGCAATAGCTCTGTAAAGAAAGAATCACAGCTGAGGACACCAAGATACAGAGAAGAAAGTCACTTGCCCGAGGAGCTGCCTCTAGTTAGTGGTTCCCTTAGTCTGTCTGGCCGCTATAACAAAATGCCATAAACTGTGTAACTTGAAACAGAAATTCATGTCTGCCACTTCTGAGGAATGAAATTCCAAGTTCGAGGTACTGGCAGATTCAGTATTTGGTGAGGGTCCACTTTCTGTTTCATGGAAGTCATCTTCTCAGTGTATCCTCACATGATGGAGGGGGTAAGGTAGCTCTCTGGTTTCTTTTATAAGAAAACTGTTGGGTTGTCAAGAAAATCATGACACATTTTTGCATGGAAAAACAGAAATATACATCATGGTTTTCCCAACGACCTAGTAATTCTGATTGTAAGACCTCCACTCTCATGATCTAATCACCTCCCAAAGGTTCCACCTTCTAATACTTGGGGGTTAGGGTTTAAACACATGAATTTGGGGGAACATGAACATTCAGACCATAGCATTCTGTCCCTCCTTCCCCAATTTTTATGTCTTTCTTACTTGAACAATATATTAATTCTGTCCTAATAGTTTCCAAAGTCTTAACTCATTCCAGCATCAACTCAGAAGTCTAAAGTCCAGTCTCATCTAAATGTTATCTAAATCAAATGTGGGTGAGTTGTGATTCTTCCTGAGGTAAACTGTTCTCCAGCTGTGAGTCTGTGAAATCAAAGTATGTGCTTCCAAATTAATGGTGAGAAAAACATCACACAGACATTCCCATTACAAAAAGGAAAAATAGACATTCGGGGTTGCTGAAAAAGTCATGATATTTTTGCATAGAAAAACAGAAAAAAATATAAATTTCCCCACAACCCAATAGAAAGGGTACTAGGTCTCAAGTAAGTTTAAAATCTAACAAAGCAAACATTAAACCTTAAATCTTGAGAATAATCTTTGATTCAATGCTTCACCTCTAGGACACATTGGAGTAGGGATGGGGCCCCCAAGTCTTTTGGAGGCCCTGTTCTCCTGGCTTTTACTGAGTGTATCCCATGCCAAAGTTCTCTTTAGGTTGTACATAGCTGCCTGGGGCTCCCCCAGACTAGATACCACACCAATGGTTCTAGTGGTCTGGGGTCATGAGGGCACCTCTGTCACAATAGCTCTACAAGCACCACCACCTTCATGGGGACACCCTGCGATGACTCTACCCTCACAGATGCTTGCCCCCTGAGTCACATGCTCAAGGCTCTGAGCAGCTTCATCCTTCAAAATCTAAGTGGAGGTAACCAAGCCATCATGGCTTGCCCACTCTGCATGCACCATATGGATCTGCCAAAGTTTAGCTCCTGTGCATTCTGGAGTGATGGCCACCATAGATCATGCCATACTAGAGCCCATCAGAGCCACAGCAGACATGGCCAAAGAGTGCTGTGTCAGAACAGAACGTGGAATGTGTGGTGGCAGTAGGCAGCTGGGACTCTCTTCTGCTCCCTATGCCCTAGAACTTTGGGACTGAGTAATTTCTTGGTGGGGGGAAGGAGATTTTCTTTTCAACATAGCATGTGTTTAGAAAAATTCACTGAGACCATGGGTAGATACTTTGTTTTTAATATAGATCTCTTCCCTAAAAGGAAAATAAAGTGAACTACTGCAGAGAAGTAAAAAGTTTCATTTTTCAGTTTTTAGTACAAAAGAGTAAGCTGATATGATTGTAGATTTGAACAGAGAAGGTTTCATTGCTTAAATCAAATATTTTTTAGCCTGATGTCATCAACAACCCCAAATGGCAAATCCAACAGAAATTTTAAAAATATTTCTTTTAATTCCACCAACACATTTGACACCATTGATCAGTTTGTGCTGAGCCAGTCTAACTTCTATGGTCAAAATCCCTTCTAGTTGTAGGTGCTATCCTCTTGTTTCTTAAATGCCCCCTTTTTCAGGATCCTTAACCAAGTCCATTTTATTCTTTCTTTATTTTTTAAAAATGTATTCATTTATTTATTTATTGTGGTTTTCAAGTCATCAGGTTTGAGACTCAAGCCATGGTCAGCCATGTGGGAATCCAGCACCTTAACCACTATGTCATCTATTGGTCCTCTCATTCTTTAAATATTAGCACATTCCAGAGTTTTGTTTACAACTGACTTCTTTCTACACCCCCCACCCCCGCCCCGAGTTCTCTCTGAGCAATTATACATAAGCAATTTCCAAATCTATCTCCATCATTGATTATAATTCTGAGTTATGAAGTTATATTTTCATGTATTTAAAAAAAAACTTCATGGAATCAGCAGATGGTATAATGGTTATGTCACTGAACTCCCAAATAGTTGACTGACGTTTGAGTCCTGGACCTGGCAGCATAAAACACACCAGATAAGTGTGTGTACATGCCCAAAATTCCGGGAAGAGACTGAAAGAGAAGGGACTGCAATGCGGCCATCTTTCTAGGGAGTAATTTGTCACCTTCTGTCTCTCTGCTGTCTTTCCAGGGAGTGCACATGCCCAATAGAAAATATCTCTCTTTAAAAAAATCATGAATTTTCAAGAATTTGATATGTTACCTAGTTAGATATGTCAAGGGCATTTCAATTTAAAATTCCTATTGCAGAACTCTTTATCTTTGCTCAAAGCCAGTTCCTCCTATGACTGTAGATAGAGTAAAGATATATCCATTCTAAGTGGCTTGCTAAAGTAACTTCCCAAGGATACATTATAACATGAAAATACTCATCCCTTATTTAATGGCTTCATAGAACTCCATATTTATACGCATATTAAATATTATTATTTTTTAATTCTATGTGACAAATATAAAAGCACTATAAGGCTATAGATGCAGTATAACAGAAATAATTGATTGGAACATGCTACCTCACCTTTACTGCATAACTTGACTCAAACAGAAACACCAGTCAAATACCCAATTTCTAATAAAAGTGCATACACTAGGGATTTAAAGACTTGACAGCATAGGTAGAGACGTGAAATATTAGCAGATGCACAGGTTCTGTAGCCATAGTACCTATTGCAGAGCAGCATGCATCATAAGAATGGGTTTGTCAAGGCTGACTCATTCTTCTCTTTAAAAAATTATTTAAAAGGAAAATAGTGAGGGAACCAGCAGTTAGCGTAATGGCTATGTCGCTGGACTCCCACGTAGTCGACCGCGGTTCGCGTCCCAGACCCGGTGGCTTAAAACTCATGCCGGGCGCGTGTGCGTGTGTGCCCAAATCCCGAGAGGAGAATGGAGGAGAAGGGATTACGGCATGACCATCCCCCCTGGGGGGTGATTTCTCGCTTTCTGTCTGTCTCTGTGTCTCTCTCTGTCTGGCGAGCGCACGCATCCTATAGCGAAAATCTCTCCCCCCAAATAAATAAATAAATAAATAAATAAATAAATGGAAAATAATGAAATCTTTCCTCTTGATGCATTATTTACATTGGTATACGCTCTCTTATATTGAACTAAATATTCTCTAAACTTTTATTTACTCTCCAGAATCTATACTCCTTATCAATACATACATAAAAAAAGATATTACTACTTTCATGTGAGAAAGTTTAAAGGTGTGAGGACTGGAACTGTGATAATCATTTTATGACCTTTAAGAGTTGACCAACAAAATCACAGCAAAGCCAATCCAGCATCCTGATATCATAGAGATGTTGAATCAAAATTATAAACCAGTAGAGCGAGCATATGTTCAGTGATTATGCAAGCTGGACCCCACATGGCCAATCATACAATTGGAGTCCAAAATGTGGCAGCTTGAGAAATGTGTCAGGAATGTGTACATGTATGCCCAAATCCTGAAATAAGGTAGAAACAGAAGAGAAAGGATTGTGGCATGACCATGCCCCATGGGGGTTGCTTTCTTTCTTTACCTCTCTGTCTCTCTTGAGTAATCACATGCACCCTTTAGCAAAATTGAAAACAAACAACAACAAAAACACAACAGGATAAAACAAACAAACAAACAAACAAACAAAACAGGATCACTCTAATTTTCTTATGTACATAATAAAGGTCTTCATGGTTTAAGCCAATAATTAAATAGGGCTTT